ATGCATGCTTAGGATGTCTACAGTAGTGCATTAAGCATGTTTAGGATGTCTACAGTAGTGCATTAACCATGCATGCTTAGGATGTCTACAGTAGTACATTAACCATGCTTAGAATGTCTACAGTAGTGCATTAACCATGCTTAGGGTGTCTACAGCAGTGCGTTAACCATGCTTAGGGTATCTATTAGTGTGTTAACCACTGCTCTCCCCCCAGTGTTCTTTCCCCTTTATTTTTAGGGTTATGCCTTCTTGATGGAGATCTCTTGACCTGGGGGCTTCTTTGGTTTGCTGTCCTACTCCTCCCCCAAACAAATGGTTATCTGTTGGTTAAGGGCGGTCTATCTGGAGTGGTGAGTTACTCTATTTCCAAATGCTTTTGTCCTGCCCCAGATTCCTAGGGTCTTAGAACAGAACAGGCCAGCTGGGCTAGAGGCAGCCAATTGTCCAGGTGAGAGTTGGTATCACTCTGAGCCACCTGGACAATGACTGTCTCTTTGTTCCTCGTGGAGAGGCATCTTAGTGCAATGTTATGATGTTGGTGCCGCTGAACACTGGCAGTGGTTCTCCAGGATGCTCCAGAGGACCAAGCCCCCTCTCTGAAACAGGCCAGAAAGCCCTCCTAGGAGGTAAGGGCACATGCTGGACCATCACTGGGACAATGTCACAAAGCTCTGCTGCCGAACATGGGTTTAGTTAAAAGAGCTAAAAATGTTCAGTAGAAGTCCCCCCATCCCCCTCCCCCGCACATGAGCAAATGATGCCTCCTTGAAATCTTAGAAGTTCGTATTGTCACCAGAGAAATTAAAACAAAAGGAACTTCTCTTTCCAGATCCCTCCTCTGAGTGGATTTGCATGAAGAGATGTCTACAAAATCATGGGTAGATATCTCAGACGGGGGTGGGAGGTTGGGGGTGGGGGGTGGGTGGGAGGCAAATCAGTCCAAACCACTGAGCCTATAACTCTTTCCCCCCATTTCCAGGAGAAGAGTATAAGAGACTCTTTATTGGCAGCCCATTAGCGCTGAGGAGAGGCGCTCTGCAGAGTGACATCAGCCCACCGCTTGACCCAAATCTAGTATTTCACCAGAGAGCTAGCTGCACTCGGCAGGCTTTCACACTACGGAGAAGCCGCGCATGGGGACGAGGGGAAGGAGGCATAAATAAGATACAGATTGGAGACTTTTTGATGTGTTTAGCACATTTTTTGTGACTTCCTTTAATACCACAGACCTTGCATTCTTCCACCATTAGGGAACAAAAGACAAGCTGAGGTGGGGGTGGAGGGTGGGCTAGGGAGGGGAAACCCATTCAATAAAAAAAGTTCTGTTCGCCTCATTAACATTTTTAATTCCAGTGATTAAAAAGGGAGGCAAAAAAAAAAAAAATGGAATGAGAAAGGATACCACAGCCCAGTGACTTCAGATATAAAAGTCCCTTCATTAAATCAGCTGTTTCTTAATTCATAATTGAACGTAAATAAAGAGCGACCTATAGGCAGCTGTTTCTAATATCGAGTCCTCAGCACACATGAAAGACGCATTTATTCCTGCAGCAGCCTCCCTACCCTTGGGTGTTATCAGCTGAACATGTTTTGAACCCACCTAATGCATTTGAGGTAGCTTGGGTTTATTTTTCTTTCAATAAAATAAATGGTTTTGTAATTAAATTTCTGCACGGCCTGCGCTTAATGGTTACATTGACAAGTGCTAATGTACGGCGAGAGAACGGGCTTGAAATGAAACATGCTGTTTTCGAATCTGCAAGCAATTTTGCAGCGGGGGCAATCAAACCCCTCCTGCCCGTGAAACGTTTTCATTAATCTGCACTGTAAGTACACCCCTGCCTGCTCGGCTGGCCGCGTGAGGACACTTTTCAGCTCCCGTTATGTCCATCCTCCCGCCTTTACCTTCTTCTAAGAGGAATGCACACGCACAGGCACGCATGCGCGCACACGCTCACCCGCACGGATCATGAAGTGAGCCGTTGTTTGAACCCCTTTGTGGTCTCTGGCAGCCGGGCCTGTGGAAATTAGCTGGCTTTTCACCTGAAACGTTGCAGCTGTCTTGCTCTTCTGAAAGAACTGGCTGCCTCAACTCCTCAGTCCCTGGCAGGAAGGCAACAAAAAAGCTGCCCCTAAGTTTGGTTGTTGTTGTTTGTTATTGTTTGTTTGTTTACTTCCTCTGTCAGCTAAATTTTTGAATAAAACTCCTCATATGACTTAGAGAGAATAGCTATGACATAACTCTGCTCTCTCTGTGCAGACCCACTTCAAGCCCCAGCTGGAACGTGCAGCGCCCCACGCTCATGCCTCCGCTAGCCTCATGAACAGAAACCCGCGTGGATGAAGGTGGTGATGCTAACTCCACTTCCGCCCGTGGCCCGGAAGTGGGCTGTGCGCTTGCACAGGTATGAGACTGGGACCCCAAGATTCCCGAGGCCCTCTCCTATGGGAAGGTTGTTTGCTGGGAGCTCTTGAGGAATGTTCGTGGATGGTTGCTGGGTGCTTGGGTCTGTGATGGGCCGCTCGTTAAAAGCGAGGTGCAGGTTCGAGGCCAACAAGCCGTCTGGGGACTGTGGAGAAGAAGCAAGTTGGGATCACCTGTTTCCATGGCTGCTCACAAGGCGTGCAGCTCAGCAGTTTCTTCCGATGCTGTGTAGGGTCCGAGAAAATGCGAAGGATGACACCAGACTTAGATAGTATACAAGAGCAAAGAGTGTTTATTAATATTCCAGCATGCATGTGGGGTCTTTCACCTGTACGAAACAGGCGGTGACCCTGAGAGGAGCATGCAGGATCTTTTTAATCACAGCTAGGGGGATTTCAGGAGCAGTTAGGTCATCTCAAACGTAATTGGTTAAGCAAGCAGCAGTTACATTAGTATACTTTTAATTGGCTGAGGATTAGTCTTATCATTTTTGGACACGTCTGCACAAGTTTGGTCAAGTTTGGATGTGACTTAGAAGGGGCTGCTGGGTTTGTCCTTGAGACCTTGTGAGGCTGGCTCAGGCCACCTCCCTGAATGGAAGGGCACTGTGGATAAATGACCCTTTGTTGGGAGAGACACCTGTTCTGCCCTTCTCAGAGAACTGGAACCTGAATTGGGTTGCGGAGAGTGGGAGAGTTTAACCCCCTCAGCTGAATTGCGATCAGGGCAGGCCAAGACGCAAGTGTCCTGCCTTTCTTGTGTTTCTGCTCCCAGCCCCAGGTTTGGTGGAAGGGCTGTGGCGTGGTTCGCCCCTCCCCGAATTTACTGCCTTGGAAGAGAGAAGGTTGGGATTATGCCTCCAAAGGCACAAGGTCGGCTCCTTGGGACGGTCCTCTCCATTTCCCCAACTCCAGAATCGCCTTCTATGGCTTTGGATGTAACAGTACTTGGGGAAGGAGGCACAGGATGAGATGGCCACTCAGGTCGAGTCATAGGCGAGGTGAAGTCCGTCCTGGTGGGGGGGGGGCACAGTAAGGATTAGTTTGTATCTGAAAAAGAGGAGGGGAAGTTTCTTGAGTAAACAGCAGCTGGTAGATTAATGAGAGAAGCAAAGATTTAACCTCGTCTGTGAAAGAGCAGAGAGGCCTATGCCCAGCAGGAAGGAAAATAGTGAGGAGTGACGTTGGAGGGCCACTTGAGTGGGCCTGGCTGAGTCTAGGCTAGAATCCTAAGAAACTAATATACAAAAACATGGGCATGATCACCTGCAGTCAGCCTGCCAGACATAAGAGTTGTTATGATTTCTTACTGTATAGAAGGCATGTTAGGCTCTTGGGGGGTATAGGCCTCCCCAAAGGTACTGGCTTCTTGAGGAAGTTTGTGCTGTGATGCAGCTACAAACAAAATACTATGTGGTCTGTGTTTGGAGAGACAGGAGAAAGTTTCGTGGAAGTGGTGAGCTGTGAAGGCGAATAGAATTTCAAGAAAGGAGAATGATTGGCAGTCTTGAATGAATGGAGGGAAGGTATTTGTGATGGATATGGGGGAGTGAAATAGAATTGAGGAGGTAAGGTGGGGTACATAGGAGCCCTTGTTTAGCTGGCTACAAAGGTCTTCATAAACCACTGGCACTATTTAAAGATTCCATAACTATGAGGACTGGGGTGGATCATTGAGAGGTGGTGTTGAAATCTATTTGTGCATTTATTAATAAACCTTGATGTGGCCAGAAGTTTTTCCTGGTCCTGCTTAACCCCGTGGTCCTGCAGCTGCTTATAAAATAATCATTCAAAGGTTTGATATTACTTACAAGCTGTATGGCCTATGGAAGACCTCTTGCTAGCTAGCTCTTATATCTTAAATTAACCCATTTCCATTCATCTATGTTTGACCATGTGTTCCGTGGTGCTACCGGTCCGCTGGCATGTGGCTTCTTGGGCGGCAGGCTGCCTTTTTTCCTGCCTCTGCCTTTCTTCTTCCTGTCTCTCTCTTTGGATCTCTTGCCTGCCTCTAAGCTGCCTTGCCATAGGCCAAAGTAGCTTATTTATTAAGCAGTGGGAACAACATATATTCACAACATACAGAAAGACATCCCCCAGCACCTTGATAAACAAGGGTGAGCTGAGAAGAAATGCCAGTGGGTACAAGCAGACCAAGGTCCACTTTGATAACTCAAGTCAGTGAGGAAGTGGGCTGCAAGATGGAGACAGTAAGCATACACAGAGTGTAACCAGTTGGTATGGTGGGAGGAAGAGAGCCTTCAACCAGCAGTTTCTCTTCAGAGCTCCTCAGAAGAATCCTGTGTCAACAATGGCCAGGGAACTCTCAAGTAAAGTGAATTTGGAGAGAGAAAAAAAGAAAACACCAGTTCTAACTGGATTTATGAATTTTATGAAGAATTATCATGGGGCAGTGTTGTGAATATTGCTCTGTATGCTGTGAATATGTTGCTCTGATTGGTTAATAAATAAAGTGCTGATTGGCCAGTAGCCAGGCAGGAAGTATAGGTGGGACAAAGAGAGAGGAGAATTCTGGGAACAGGAAGGCTGAGTCAGGAGTCGCCAGCCAGACACAGAGGAAGCAAGATGTGAAGGCAGAACTGAGATAAGGTACCAACCCACATGGATAAACATAAATAAGAATTATGGGTTAATTTAAGATGTAAGATCTAGCTAGCAAGAAGCCTGAGCCATTAGGCCATACAGTTTTGATTAATATAAGCCTCTGTGTGTTTATGTGGGTCTGAGCGGCTGTGGGCCCAGGCGGGACTGGAGATAACCCCAGCTACAGGGCAGTAGAGGGAGAAATGGACCAAAATGGATGGAATGTGGAACTCCTAGGAATGTCTACATCAAAAGCAGCCACAGCAAAAGCCAAGGAGGTGCAGTAGGCTCGGATAAGCCAAGATGGGGGAGCTGAGGTCTGAGAAAGGCTGAACATTACTGTGGGATGTCCTCCTGTATGCTGTGAATATGTGCTTCTCTCATTGGTTAATAATAAAGTTGTTTTGGCCTATAGCCAAGCGGAATATGGCTAGGTGGGAAGGCCAAACAGAGATACTAGGAGAAGAAGTCAGGGCAGATGCCAGCAGATGCCCAAGGAGCAAGATGCCAGAGCACCGGTAAGCCATGGTCACATGGCAATGCATAGATTAATAGAAATGGGTTCATTTAAATGTAAGAGTTAGTTAGTAATAAGCCTGAGCTACTGACCAATCATTTATAATTAATATAAGCTTCTGTATGTTTATTTGGGACCCAGTAATTGGGACAGAAAGATTCCACCTCCAGTTATAGAACATTGTTGTATTTCAGTGAGACCCAAGAAAGTGAAGCCCTTGGGTTTAACAATGGAGAGACTGGTGTTTATCCCTGAAGAGTTGGCTAAATGAAAGGGAACCTGAGAGGCCATGAACAGTAGAGACATCCTCTGTAAGCCTGAGGAAGAAGTATGGTCCCACAGAAGTCTGAACATCTTGTTTTCTCATTATTACAGCAAAATAAAAAAACTCAACTGAACAAAAACAATCTTTTGGCTTCTTCAGTAGAGCTTATCAAAGCTAAAGAAAATCAGTTGTACTGTTTGATGTTGGAAATTATACCTTCCCTGTGTCAGAGACTCCTGGCCTCAGGAGTGAGTACTCCTGGCTTCCGGAAGTACAGGCTTTCAGGGCACTTTCACAGTGAGATGTGCAAGGAAAGCTTTCTCAGGGGTCAGTTCACAGATCATAATGAAAGAAGAATCAGCCGAGAAGCAGTGATTGAAATGGCACCAAAAAGAGGCCTCTGAGTGGTAGGATCATGGCGGGGGGGGGGGGGGGATGTAAAAGCAGGTGGAGAGAGTGCCCTTGTAATGCACAGGAAAGATGAGGTGTTGGCCAGAGAAACACAGAGGTAAAGGCAGGAGGAGACGACGGGAACAGTGTCAGCTTCTCAGGAAAGAACAGTGAGGTCACCTTGGAGGTGAGGGGTGAGGATGGAGGTGATGGAAGAGAGGGTGACTTAGAGATGTGAGGTGGGTAGGCGAGGGGGGTAGCCAACAGAAACAAAGAGTGGCATCTGGCAGCCCGAGAACCCCACCGGAGATGGAACCCTGGCAGGCAGTCCCATCCGCGTGGTCATGATACTTGCCCCAGCCTTTCTCAGGAAAGGGAAAGCGGGCACAGAAGCCCAGGACATGGCCTCAGTGTTGCTCTGGCTATCGATAGCACCATAGCTGTCACTGGAAGCCAGAGGCAAAGGAACTTGAGGGCCAACTAGGGAGATGTTTGCAGCAGGGGGGTTCCTTGATAGTATGTGTAAGCTTCATCTTTTTACATAATGATGTATGCCTCCACCGGAGAGGATTGTAAAGTAGGAGGTGGAAAGGAACCCCCCCCCTTGCTTTTCTTCTCCCCTTTGGGTTTCCTGTGTGATCTGGGTCATCAGGTCAGACTTTTCACATCACTGCTCCTCCCTGCCTTCCTTGAGCTATATTCTGATGAACAGCCCAGGCTTCTCTGTTCTTCATCTACTGCCCATCTGTAACACCATAATACGCTGCCTTTTAGCAACGCTGGTCTCCAGATTACACTGAGATTGTTCCTATTGTGTTGTTCCATGCTGGTGTCTGTGTGGAAGGCGATTACACACTCAAAGATGCTGTTTAAGTAAAGACAAGCTATAAGCAGGTAAAGGTGTCTGCTGCCAGGCTGATGACCTGAATTTGATCCTTGAGACCCCCATGATAAGAGGAGGAAACGAGCTCCCTACAGTTGCCCTCTGACCTCTACTTGCCCACATATATAAGTGAATAAAAGTAATTTAAAAGCCAGGCCTTTAATCTCAGCACTCAGCAGGCAGAGGCAGGTGGATCTCTGTGAGTTTGAGGCTAGCCTGGTTTACAGAGTGAGTTCCAGAACAGATGGGGCTACACAGTGAAACCCTGTCTCAAAACATGCCCCCCCACCACGTGAAGTAATTAAAAATAATAATTAATCATAAATATAAATATAAAATAATAACTAAAAAATAAAAGACAACCTCACTGATAGGTTTGATTCTGCAAAACTATACATTTTGCCTTGTTGGTATTTTGATTAGTTGTTGATGCTCAGTCAAGTTTATTAAAACTAAAAGAGATCCACTGCTGTCATTTGGTTTTGGACAGGAGACACTGTTGGACTATATATCACATGTATAGAGAATCCTGGCCTCAGGTAAAATGGCCTCCAGTGGTGTTTTTTTCCCCTGCTTGGGGTGGGCAGCATGTTAGTGTTTTTGGGAAGAAAAAGGCTCACAGCATGGGAGCCATCCATCCTGATTCACCTTACTATCAAGAGGTAGGGATTCCATAGGCTCTGTTTGGTTTTTGTCCTCTTCAGATATCTCCATCTCCCTCCCCAAAGCCCTAAGGAACCCTTTGAAGCCATTCTTTATGTCCTGTTAACATTAAGTATATGCGGTGGTGTGAGCTGGTCAGAGAAGGGACAAGAGGACAAAACCCAAGAAAGGTCTCCACAGCTTCAGCAACTCTAAGTCCTGCCTGTCCTAGAAGCTCTGACTGCTGCGACACTTGGGATTGGGAAGAAAACCATGAAGGATGTCCATCACAGCCTCAGAAAGCAAAGAATGGACTAAGGAACCAAGGAAACAGCTACATGAGTATGTCCAGATAATGAGATATCCTGATATACCCAAATATTCCATGTGCTCTCTGTATTTTCTATCAGGACCACATCTAAGAAAAGAAAATGTCTTGGGAGAGGGGATCACATCTAAGAAAAGAAAATGTCTTGGGAGAGGGGAATGAATATGATCAAAATATATTGAATGAAATTCTCAACAAGTAGCATTTTTTTTTTGAGACAGGGTTTCTCCATGTGGTTTTGAACTGTGTATGTCCTAATGTGACTTTCCACTGTCTTAATGGAGACATCTATCTATCTTTCCTTAGCTTCCAGGTGAGGCATTTACTTTCAACCATTTGAACACGATGACCAATAGAAAAGCGGAAAGGGTAAATTATTAGGACTCTGCGATGCTCTAAACCTTTGGCCCAATTGTTTCAGGGTGTACTTGTTGGATGGGGTTGGAGCCTAAGACTGTTTGTGTTCATCTACTGCTTACCTGAACACCACCATGCACTGCCCAATAGCAACCTTTGTCTCTAAACTGCAGAGGTAGTGTTCCTCTTCTGATGGGCCGTGCCAGTCTGTGGGGAGGAGGACAAATCTCAACACACTGGCTGAAAACTGGTAGCATTCTTGTCAAGCATCACTGAGACTTTCACTGAAGGGAGACCATGGGAAGAGACCCTTCCTTACCTACTGCTTTAGGATACACAGTAAGACATCCACAGGTCATATCTTCTCAGCACCCAGCCCCGGAGGCTCTGGTTATCCCTTTAAAATGCATAACACACCTCAAATGAGAACCATTAGGTACCCAGCAAATTCATGGCCCCTTCCTAAAGAACCGTCATACACCATTGAGCCCCAAGCTAGGGTTCTTCAGTGATGGTAAGCAAATGGGCAATGCTGGGGGGGGGGGAGGTGTTGTTAGAGTCTCCCTCCTAGTGAATTCCCTCACTCTGAATGTCACTGTGTGAGCCTGAAAGAAGAGAACAAAAATTAGGAAAAGAAAACGGACATACCTAGTGGTAAGAAGCACGTTAGGTCAGCACGCTGAGGCAGTTCACACTTTATGTAGCAGAACTGATTGAGCATTATAATTCATCTTCCCCTTGGCCCGGAGCCCTTGTTAGACTTCCAGAAAGGAAGGCCCACAGAGGAAGGGAGAGGAGGAAGGAAGGAAGCCAGGGCAGTTCCCACAGTAGGAAGGTGCCTGGCCTGAGATGCGGGAGGGTGGAGGCTGAAGGCTGGCCGCCGAGACAGGCAGGCAAGGCTGGGTGCTTTAGAGCCAATGTGCAAGTTATGAGAATCTCTTAATGACCATAACTCCTGAGGGAGGCATGTGAGCAGTGCCTGGCGCCAGCCAAGCTCGCACAGGCGCTCCTGTCCAGATGGAAAATGTGTAGGGAATGAGGGAGGAGGGTGAGAAGAGACTTGGGGCTGCTGAAAGTGACTGATGGCCCTGGGATGGCGAATCTGGCTCCCGTGGAATTGGGGTTTGACTGGAATAAGATGCAGAGATCAGTGACTTTCAGGGGAGAAAGAACCTCGATTATCGTTTCTAGAACCAAGTTTCTTCAAGGTTCTCCGAGAGCCTCATTTATGTATCCCACCTCCAACCTCTACTCAAGACATTTCTCTCTTTTTTCCCCATGTGCCCAAGGCCCACCGGGTCAGCATGGGCCTCACTGTCTTCCCGAAGCCCTCCCTGAGAGGTGAAGGCCAAGCCTCCCTCCCCCTCACCCACTGACTTTCCTTAATGGAAGCCCTGTTAGTCTAGGATCCAGCAGAGATGTGTGTTTGAGCTGAATGCTTCTCAGAGCCTTGAAGTTACTCAGAAATTCGTGGGGGAAAAAATTTCTAAGATTTCATTCACAAAAACATTTTATGGAATAAAATGCAAAGTTGCCAAGAATGGTTAAAGCTAAAACTTCAAAGCAATTTGATGACACTCTGGGCCATACCCACCTGGATACCTGTTTGCATCCACGGAGAACTTTCGTATATTAGTTTGAGGAGTGAATGAATTGGATGTCAGGAAACAGGAAGCTGGAAATGGAAAGTAGAAGTCTTGCTAATAAGTAGCAGCTAGAAATAGTTTTATGAAGCTGTAGTTAAAATATAATAACAGCAAACACTACTTACCACTCATTTCTAGTGTAGGACACTGGCGTGTGGTGTCCTGTAACGCAACTAACCACTACAATGTAAGAGTTGAACTACACATTTTATTTCAATTAACCCTCAACAAATCAATGAAATGCATGTGGCTCCCTGATTTATGACTGGTGAAATCGTATCATGGGTGATAAAATAACTTTCTGAACGTAGAAAGGGGGTTAGGATCAAGGTCTGGGATTCAGTCCTGGGCTGCTGTGATGCCGTATCATACAGGAGAGGGACAGAGTATATTTCTCCACCCTTCTCAAGCCCTCCCTAAAGATGATTCTTATTGGCCCCAGATGTGATCCTCCGACTGCTGCGGGTACAGCACCCCAACTTGAATGGAAACTCAGTTTGTCTCAGGACTTCCTTCTAATGTTAGGGCTCCTGAGGCAAGTATGGCGGGGACCCACATGCCATACTATCGTTAAGGAGATCTCACAAAACCCCAGTTTGATGTATCTAACTAGAGATTAAATTACTGATTTGGTACCTCCATGTGCAATTTTGGGATCCACCGAATCTAATGTAAATGTCCATAAGCAAGAAATGAGGACCAAATCAGTGGCTAGTTGTTCATCTTTCTCTGTACAGAAAAACTCCGGAGCCAGAGAGCAAGGCTGGAGCTCTATTGATTGGCTAGTTTATCTCCAAGAACTTGTCCATGCAGTAAGCATTCTAGTTGATACATTCATTGTAATCACAAAGGCAAACCTGAATTGTTTTTAGTAATACATTCCACATCATCCAGTGTTACACTGTTTTATGATGTGCCTGATTAGGAAACCCGGACCAGTGTAGGAGGACTAGGCAGTCCCCTCTTTCAGCCTTTCCTTGGCACTTCTGTACAAGATGGAGCTTTTAATACCCTGTGCACACTTTTCCACGGTCTGTTCAGATTCACCCCGTCTTCCAAAAGGCCCTTCTCACTTTACACCACACAAACTCATGTCTCGGGGACTTGCCAGATCTTGTCAAGTCCTAATGTTTTCCTTGGCAAGAACTACACGGATCAGCTTCGCTGAAATGGATCACCGAGTCCACTGGGCCTTGATGCTACTTCTCCAGGTGCTGTACATGGCTTTGAGCCTCTTCCAGTTTCCACGGGACACTGGCACGCCCCAGGTTCTTCCTGCTTCAAGCCCACCAGCTTCACAAGGCATGAGTGGACTTGAGCACCACCCTGGTCTAGAGGCCAGCAAGCATCTTTCTGCTGCTGCTCTGGTCTCATTATCAGGCCTGGTCCCAGCCTCTGCTGCTGGTCTCCTCGGTGTTTCAAGTTAGAATGAAAGGTCGCTTATCCACCATCAGTATTTCCAGGCTATTGCTAAAATCTCATTTATTGGCCAGGCTGGTAACAGTGAACTTCACAGTGAGCAGGGCTGATGAAAGGCCGTGGGCCCTGTGGAATTTAAGTTTGAACTCACCAACGTCAAGATGGATGTGCTGGAATTTAATAGGCTTCTCTTCCCAGAATGCCTCTTTCTTAAAAGAAAACACTAGGAAGTACAGTTCAACACAGAGTGGGGAAAGTATGTGTAGAGGAACTCCGGGTACCCAGTATGGGGCGTGGGACTGACTGAGAGATCTCTTTGTTCTTCTACAACCGGGAGACAGGTAACCACTGCTCACGGTTCCAACACCTGTTTTGTATGATCCACAAACTAAGAATGAGGTTTCACACTTGTAGAGGTTGATAAAAATCAACAGAAGAACGTTCTACGATCTGAACATGGAGATAGGCGTTTTAGGGCTGGCACCCAGCCACACCCACTCACTCCCACACATCTGTGGCTGCTTTCACGCCTCAACAACAGTTAAGTAGTAGTCATAGAAACTTGCATGTGGCCCAAAATCCTAAAACAGTTGCTGACTGAACCACTTTCGCTGACCCCAACAGTGAAAATCATATGATGGGTAGCTATGTTATTTCCTGGGTGCCTAAAACTGGTGCAGTCTGAGAATCCCTTTGTCTGATTCTGCCTGTGGGAGAGAATCACACAGTGCCATGAATGTAGGGGTGGAGGAAGGCTCAGAGCCTGTCCCTGACCCCATCTTCTCTTTAGTGCCTTGGACAGGCCTCGAACACAAGTCTCACACCCAGGGCATCTTCAGTAATGCTTGCTGTGTTAGACGCAAACTTTCTCTTCTGGGTTCAGTGATGGAGGGCCTTCTTGGTGGCATGGCTTTGCAAATATGAATCTGTACCCGTGGGAAGAACAAGGCTTCAGCTGTCCCTCTGCCACTTAGTCTCCAGAGACCAGGAGTTAGACAGCCTCCCTGGTGGACGGATAGGGAGAGGGGCCATGGCTAGGAAATAAAGGTGGCAATTCCCAAGATTGCCAGCTTCTTCAACCTCCTGACTTGGGACAAAAGCCTGGCAACTTTTGTCTCCCACCAGCAGGCACCCCTGATGGACTGGCTCACCAAGGTCAGGGCCTGAACTCTCAACAGTTGGCATGTTGACATGACCAATCAACCCTCTTCTCTGTCTTCAAACCGACCAACCCTAAAGTATGGAAGGAAGACTCGTGTGTGTCCCTGTTCCTCAAAGCTCAACCACAGTGTCCCTGAGGTAGTTGGGGGCTTCAGAAGGATGATGAGCCAGGAAGAATGCTTACAAGGGCAGAGGGAAGATATGAAGGGACAGGCAGATGAATGATGATGTGAAAGCCACAAAGAATAAATCAAAAGTTAAATTAAAAGAAAAACAAGGTTCCAAGCATCTTTGGGGCAGCAGCCACGGCCTCTGTTCTCTGTTGTGTCCTCCACAGCTCTATGGTGACAGGCACCTGGTGTAGACTCAGTACATGTCCTTTGAATGAATTCATGGTGTCTTGGGGTTTTGTGTCAAGACTTGGGCCATTTCTGCTGATAGCGCTTATGAGTTTCTGCACAGCCCTTCTACAATAAACACAGTTCTACTCACAGGTGTTATCTAATTGACAACAGTGGATGATGATAGCAATGAGCATGAGGTTGGGAAGGCAGTCTCCTCAAGTCTCAAAGCCAAGGGAACAGAAGCAAGAACAGGGATAGAATTCCAGCTCAAGAGTATCTTCTTAAAATTAACTTTCATTTGTTTGCAAGAAGGCTAGAATCCTGTACCATTCTATGTTGTGTCAGGACTGAACTGCCATGAGGTAATGAAAACCTGACACTCTGACCCCTAGCCTGGGAAACTGTAGGGCAGCCGATGCATTACTTGCATCTTCTGAGAAAATGCTAGAGCAAGAAAAAAAAAATCCACCAACGTTTAAAGGAGAGAGGTTTTTTATGTACAGACTGTGGAAAAGATGTCGAACCCCAGTCCTGCTTTCGGCTGTGTGCTGTTTGTCAAGAGTCTCGCTGGAGCCCGGCCCATCCTGACACCAGTTTTCCCGGGGAGCACTGGGGTGTGGCTGGCAGTCCTTGCTAAATAGTGGGCTTGGAAGACAAGAGCAGAAGTGGGGCCTTGAACTCCCACCGGCTCCACTTTGGTTATCCCCTCCCCCGACTAGTCCTCCACCACCTTCATCCTGCCCTCCAGAACTGGATCCTTCACCCTTTGCTGGGCTCACAAGTCAGCTCCTGCAGGACTGACCCATTACTTGCATGGAGAAATGGGCAGCTGCCCCAGAGATGTCGTTCAAGGATACACCTGTGCCAGATTCTTCAAAAGATTCTTCTTTGGACAGCTGTATAAGAAGATGGTCTTCCCCCCAGCCCCCAGGGCCTAGGAGAACTTTTCACGGTCCTGACGCCCACTGGCTTCATAGTTTCCAGGATATTGGGGTAGGGGGCCCCGGTCAACTCGGCTATCACCTGCAGTGGATTTCTTTTGTCTCGATTTTCCAAGTGGCATGGCAAACTCCTTCTTTCTCCCTCCCTCCCTCCCTTCTTCACTTTAAACATGTTCTAGGGGCTAGCATGATGGCTCAGCAGGGAAGAGCACCTGTTGCTGACCCTGGTTCAGTTTCCAGCATCCACATCGTGGCTCATAACTGTCTGTCACTCCAATTCCAGGGGTTCTCATGCCCTCTTCCGACCTGCTAGGACAGCAGGCATGCTCCTGGTGCACAACCATGTATACAGACAAAACATTCATACACATAAAAAGTAAAATAAATTTTAAATGAAATTAAAATGTCCTAATTGGCAAAAAATGACACATGCAAACACACACATTTGATATTTGTATACATTGTGACAAACATAGATGCAAAATTCTAAATAAAATACTTATAAGCCAAATCCAAAAACACATCAAGAAAAGTTCATCCACATGATCAAGTAGACTTCATCCCAGAGATGCAGGGATAGTACAACCTACAGAAACCGATAAATGTAATCAATCCACCATACAAATCAACTGAAAGACAAAAACCACATGATCATCTCATGAGATGCAGAAAAGGCCTTGGAGAAAATCCAACACCCCTTCATGATAAAAGTCCTGGAAAGATCAGGTATGTAAGAGACATACTTCAACATAATAATGGCAGTTTACAGTAAGAGCATAACCAACATCAAATTAAATGGAGAAAAACTCAGTAATTCCACTAGAATCAGGGACAAGACAAGACTGTCCACTCTCTCCATATCTATTCAATACAGTACTTGAAGTCTTAGCTAGAGCAATAAAACAACTAAAGGAGGTCAATGGCATACAAATTGGAAAGGAAAAATTACAAGTATCTTTATTTGCAGCTAACATGATAGAATACATAAAGGACCCTAAAAATTCCTCCAAAAAATTCCTACAGCTGATAAACACTTTGAGCAAAGTAGTTGGATACAAAATCAACTCACAAAAATTAGTAGTCCTCATTTGTATATAACAAATGATAAATGGACTAAGGAAGAAATCAGAGAAACAGCAACTTTCACAATAGCCTCAAATAATATAAAATATCTTGAGTTAACACTAACCAAGTGAGTGAAAGACTTGTCTGATAAAATCTCCAGGTCTTTGAAGAAAGAAATTGAAGAAGATATGGGAAGATGGAAAGATCTCCCATGCTCAGGGATCTGAGGCTTAATATAGTAAAAATGCCCATCCTACCAAAAGGAATCTACAGAGTCAATGCAATCTCCACCAAAATTCCAAAACAATTCTTCATAGATCTTGAAAGGACAGTTTTTAACTTCATATAGAAACATTAAAAAAATTAACAGGATAGCTAAAACAATACTGAATAGTAAAAGAAATTCAGGAGGCATCACTATCCCCAATTTCAAGCTGTACTACAGAGCTATAGTAATAAAAATAACATGGTATTGGCACAAAAACAGACACGTCGATCAATGGAATCGAATTGAAGACCCAGATATAAATCCGCAGACCTATGGACACCTACTTTTTGATAAAGAAGCCAGAAATATACACTGGAAAACAGAAAACACCTTAAAGGGTGCTGGTCAAGCTGGGTGTCAGCATGCAGAAGAATGCAAATAGATCCATACTTATCACCCTGCAAAAAATTCAAGTAAAACATAAAACCACACTGAACCTGAGAGAAGAGAAAGTGTGGAACTCATTGAACTACTGGGCACAGGAAAAGACTTTCTGAAAAGAGTATTGGTAGCTCAGACACTAAGATACACAATTAACAAATGGTTCCTCATGAAACTGAAAAGCTTCTGTAAGGCAAAGGACACCATCATTAGGACAAAGCTGTAGGCTACAGAATGGGAAAAGATTGTGCCAACTACACATCCAATGGAGGGCTAATATCCAAAATATATGAAGAACTCAAAAATTAGATGTCAAGAAAACAAATAATCCAATTTAAGAATGGGGTGCAGATCTAAACAGAATTCTCAATAGAGGAAACTCAAATGACTGAGAAACACTTAAAGAAATGTTCAACATCTGTAGCCATCTGAGAAATACAAATCAAAACTACTTTGAGATTTCATCTTACACCCATCAGAGTGGGTAATTTCAACAAAACAAGTGACATCTCATGCTGGTGAGGATGTGGAGTAAGGGGAACACTCATCCATTGCTGGTGGTAGTGCAAACTTGTATAGTCACTATGGAAATCAGTTTGGTGGTTCCTCAGGAAGGTAGAAATTCAGCTATACTGGATCTTGGGCATATACCCAAAGGACAACTCATCTTACCACCAAGACACTTGCTCAACCATGTTTACCGCTACTCTACTCATAATGGCCAGAAATTGGAAACAATCTAGATGTCCCTCAACAGAAGAATGGATAAAGAAAAAATGTGGTACATTTACACAATGGAATGTGACTCAGCCATTTAAAAAAAACACCATGAAATTTCCAGGTAAATGGATTTTAGTTCAGAAAAATAAAAAATCATTATGAGTGAGCTATCCCAGACCCAGAAAGACAAATATGGTATGTATTCACTTATATGTGAATATTAGGTGCTAAGTCAATGATAATGAAGCTAAAATTTATAGAACCACAGAGGGTAGGTATACAGTTAGGGACCAGAAGGTACAGATAGATCTCAGTAGGAAAGCTAAATCGAATAGGTAGTTTATGGATGGATGGAGGGCTGGAATGGGAGCATGAGGTGAGGAGGGGAATGGGAGAGAGGAATGAGAGAGGGGGTATGGGGAGAGACAGCTAAAATGAAGGGCCATTTGAGGTGTAGTATGGAAACATAACACAGCAGAAGTCTCCTAAAATGTACACATGTGTGAAGGCAATCTAACTGAAATAGCCCAACCTTAGGGAAGACAGAGCCCCAGTTGGACATCTCTTATCACCGAATGAAACTTCCAGTAGCAGGATTGGGTTACATCTAATTGAGTTGTTGGCCAAAGGGGTCCCATGGGAATCCCCAAACAACCCAGGCTGTTGCCAAGACAGTAGTTTGCTCTCCACAAACTGACAGCAAGGCCTCTTTGCTGAAGACAACACCCACACACCTCGTTGAACAGGAAGAAGACGAGCTGGTGCCTACATAGAATGTTCAGCCCTGTATTATAGAGTCTTTGGTACAGGAAGTCCTCACACACTCTCAAAAGAGAAACACAAACAACCCAACCACAAACCCTCAGATTGACAATGGTGCCCTGCTTGAAAGACATGCTAGGGTAGTGGTGGTACCAAGTTTGTGGGAGTCACCAACTAGTATCTGTTATCATTTAAGATCCACTCCACGAGATGGAACCCATACCCGCCACTGCCTGGGTGACCAAGAGCCACAGACAGATAGACCAGGGATCTAGGGTCCAAATGCTACTGATCTAAAAAAAAAAATGTAATGATAAAATGACTCCTGTTGACATTCTGTTATACTCATAGATCAGTGCTCAGCCATCATCAGAGAAGCTTCCTCCTGCAGCAGATGGGAACAAATACAGAGGCCCTCAACTGGACAATGCTCAGAGAGTGAGAGACCTCGCAACACTTGATCCTAAATGGGATGTCTAAATCAAATCCTCCCTTCAGAGCTTAGGGAGCCTTGTGGAAGAGGAGGCAGAAAGAGTGTAAGAGCCAGAGGGGCTGGGGGACACCAAGAAGACAAGGCCCTCTAAATCAACATGATCAAAGCTCGTATGAACTCACAGAGACTGAGGCAGCATGCACAGGGTCTTCATGGGTCTGTGCCAGGTCCTCTGCGTACATATTATGGCTTCCATAATATGTAATAATGTGGGATTCCTGTGTGTGCAAACAAGTGGGTTGTCTGGTTCTTGTGCCTTCTCTTGACTCTTTTTCTTCTGTTTGACTAGTCCAACTCCAATGTGATAGTTTTTGTTTTATCTTGTTATATTTTGTTGTTATCCCTTAGGATCCTATTCCTTTTTAATGAGAGACAGAAAGAGAGTGGATCAGGATGATGGGGAAGGTGGGGAAAACCTTGGAGGAGTAGAGGGAGGGGAAAACATAATTAGGGATATATTATGTGAGGAAAGACTCTTGTCAATAAAAGGAAAAATACATTAACATAGTGTATAATTGTGTGAAAATTTCAAAGACTATATTATTTTTAAAAAGAAAAAAGTCCTGACAAAAATTACACACACACACACACACACACACACACACACACACACACACACACATACACACACCTTTGATATATGTATACATTGTGGAAAGGCCAAATCAAATTATTTAACAAATACACTGCCTCACAAACTTATCTTCCTTTTCTTTTGTTTTTGTTTTTTCCTTCCTTCTTTATTTGTGTGTGTGTGTGTGTGTGTGTGTTGTGATTAAAGACACTCAAAATCTCTCTTTGAACTTTCCAGTACACAGTTTGCTATTGCCACAGTCACCACAGTATATCAGCTCTCTCCTCTTTCCCTCTAATTAAACCAGGATAACACTAGGGCTTTGCGTAAAGAACTATGTAGAAACACAAGGAATATCCCAAACAATTGGAAGAGGCTTTCCTGAGCTGGATAGTCTCATGAGACAATATCCCTCTTCTTATTTAATTTGGTTCCTAAACCAGCCTAGAAGAGCCCCAGCCTGATAGGCACCCTTTCAGCTTCAGTGAACATAGCTGGCCCCCAATTTGACCATGCTTTGCCCACTTTGTGGCCCCAGGAGCAGCATAGGTGTAT